AATGGCAGCCTTGCAGAGGGAAGAGCCCTAGTGAGAAGGGTGGTGTATAGAGAAGGCCCGCAAGGCCTAGAGATGCTGGACACCCGGAGCAGGAGAACTGTGGCCAAGTGGAGGAGAGGTAGCCTCCCTACAAAAACACTTATCATCAAAGTCGTGGCGGGCGAGAATAGGAGGATGCAAGTCCGAAGCTTGGCACAGTAGAGGAGGTGGCAAGGGCTAGCACGGCGACCCTGCCGTCCCTCCTGTTACAAATACCAAACACTTGACTAAAACAAACACTTTCGCTTCTACTCACTTCTCAATGAATGAAAGAAGCATAATGCAAGTTGACGGATCAAATGTGGAAAAGATATCAGCCAGAGTGGAAACTGCTGGCCGGAGCCAACCTGACCGGCCTCCTCCTGTCCCCAGCAACATGTGGGAATCCGGCTTCAGCTGCATGCTACTCCAGATGGGACACATCCACCCGGATTGGCACCAGCCAGCAGAGGCGGTGGCGGAGACATGTGCCACTTGGGACTGACCAGCGCAGGTAGGGGGAAAGTGCAGCTGAGCCCCTCCTGCTGCAACCGGGTTCATCCTGTCCCGAGCGGCACATGGCTACTCCTCTTCCCACACGCACTGTGTCGGCAATGTCAAGCTGACACGGTGCGTGTGGGAACCTCGTCCCTTCCCCAGCCCTTCAGCAGCCATTAGGAAGCTGCTGAAGGGCCAAGGGAGGGACAAGGGGTGGGAACGAAAGTAAACACTGTTTACTTTCGTTTCCCGTCACAGCACTGCGGGCCACAGAAAATGCCTTGGCGGACCGCAGGGCAGCCCGCGGGCTGTATGTTGGACAAGCCTGGCATAAGGTAACAGTGAAAATATTATTAGTTTAGTAAGCAGTGGTCACAACACACCAGCTGCCTAGCTACTGGCACAAAGGCAGTACCAGAGAGTAAAGATTTATTCAATGAGGAGAGGGGTTGCAATCACATTTTAAATCATACAGAGGCTTCTTTGGGGTCCAACCCTGTAAATCCCATTTCTTGGCTTTGGTTGTAAGCAAAGTTTAGTCACATGAGTAAGGGGGTGTACAGTCAATGCCCAGCATTCCCTCTGAAAATGTTTGTCTCAGGGTTGGTTCTCATAATCAATTCAGAGAGGA